ATACTAAAAGCGCGATTATTTTTGACGTATATTAACGGTATTACACGCCTCATAAGCTCGAACTGCTTGCTTTATGCCGACGACCTCAAGGTGTGGAGGGCGATCAATACCCTAGATAATGTCACAGTACTTCAAGCTGCTCTGGATAGGATATATGCGTGGTCAATCCAGAATGTACTGTGATTCAATATGGACAAATGAAGAGTGCTGCACCTACGGCGCAAGTTAGTGCACTCCTACAAATGCGGTAACTAGGAGTTGTTAACGTCTTCTTGTAAGAATGATCTGCAAATACTTGTCCAGATCGATCTTGGGTGTTAGAAGCAGGCTGAAACGGCGTCTAGGAGGGGTATCCAACACGTGGGCCACCTAAAGAGTGCATTTGGACGATTCGACCCTTCAGTTTTTCTGCGACTTCTCGGCTCATACATGTGGCCACATTTGGAGTATGTAATACAGATCTGGCAGTCAGGGCTGAGAGAAGATCTCACCGCCTTGGAGATACCTCAACGCCGGGCAACCAAAAATGTCAATGGACTGTATAATTTTCATCTCCTATATGTGTACACTAGGGGGTGAAGATTTTTCCCAACATCCCATTTATGGATTTATCTTAGATTTACAGTCTATACAACGTATACGTCAGTGAGTTCACCGGTGTAAACCCAACTTTGCAAACACTTTTTGTAGGTTGAAGTTTCACTTTAATCAGCCTACCTATTTGACCCGTATAAAACCATTGTTCCATTTGTCCATTGAGCAGACTACCCTCGCTTGGTTTGATTTCCCGCTCTTGGCATGAAAATAGGTTGAGCAATTTCCGCAGGAAATCCCTATTTTGACCCACTTATTGCACGTTCCACATGCGCCTTTAGGCACCGGGGCTCGGCCAGTAGCGCGCATCGGGGCACGTGAACGTATGTTGGTTAGTCCAACCCAGGACGCTGGATTGATTGATTAGCCGTCAAGGTAAGTCTGCCGAGGCAGATGGCTGTCAAGACGTCTCTCTCTCACTCTCGCGGGCGCGCGCAGATTGCCAGATTCAGCGGTGCGCACACAAGCACAAGAAGCAGCGGCGGGTATCGATCGGGTCGTGCTACGCGATACGCGCAGGGAGTTGGCAAGCTTACCTAAGGGTTTAAGACTCGATGTTTCGTGGGTGAACGAACCAAAATGCCTCGTAACATTGTTATGGTGCAGCCTGTAAGGATTGTTGCAGTGTCGTTTGAGAGTCCTCAGCTGCTTCTACCGAATGAGATCAAAATTATTCTCGAAAATTTCGGAAGTGATGTGATTTTACAAACAGAACTCGACGAAGAATATGCCAAAACTGAGAACGGGAGTAACAGTACGATCCACACAAGTTAGATCCAAGAGATGGGAAGTACTCGGTTGTGGAGAACATTGCCGCAAAGGCAGCCCCAGACTGCCGCGATAAATATCGCGGGAAAACATAAGCAGAGATTAGCACCTTGGAATAGGTCAAAAAATCGAAAATTAGAAAGTGTACATTGGTGGAATGAAATGTTAAAAAGTGCTCTCTGCTGCAACGTGACGGATAAGCTCTGAAAGCACTTAGGTGTCTCACCTCGAGGATACTTCTAGAGTCAGCTTCACATAACGATCGTATATTGACTTTGGGTGGATGCTCAAAAATTTCGGAATTTTGCTGCGTACCGTTGTGCTACATATCCCAATCAAGAGTAGTATTTATGAAGAAAACACTACGTGGTGTACCACGAGCAGAAGCTCGAAAATTGTGGCGAAGCCAACTTAATCTTTTATTTTCAACGAAAATCTTTCGCAGCATCAAAGAATTTACTCTTACACCTCAATGGGTAAGCCTTAATACATCACATGTTGCATTGCTAGAAGATGTAGTATGGAAAGTCTGAAACAGCCGGCCTATAAGTGTACACCTGCGATGGACCCAGTATTAGTGACAGCACGACGAGAACTCAAAGTTAGCGCTTGGGATATAAGTTGATGTTTCGCTATCCCCCAAGAAAATATAAAGAAAAGCAAAACTATAACATTTGATTAATGCATCGCAATTAGATTACCAGGCAGAGAGACCGAATATCAATCCAGAAAAGCATCAGACGGCCGTTCCGTCGTCTTGGGATTTGTGATGGGCGCGCATTCCATCGATACACCTTGGGGAACCGAACACATGATCGTTAGTGGTTACCACCACTAGCCTGCAGCCTATGCCACTGAGCTCTGGAGGCCGATAGCTGAGCATAAAAGATTGAAATCTAACAGCGATATAGCCCGACTCTTCCTGTACTGCAGAGAAAAGTGGTCAGCCCTCCGGTTTCAGGACTTCACTTTCAGTAGGCGCGAGTCTACGCAGCAGTTTTAAGACTGACTAAGCTAATTGTTTAGCCACTCACGCTGTAGTGATCCTGCTAATACACTACAATGTCGTAGAATAAGAGACGACACTTAAAGGAACAGACAAGTAGGCTACAAATGAGTCAAATATCTTGAAGCGCAGAGAGGCAATTAAGAGTAGCCTCACTTTATCCGAACTCATAACTTAATGATATTTTTACGACATGGTTGTTCGGTTAATGGGCCGTGATATTATTATTATCAATATCGGATTAGTAGGCGCAGGTGACAGCTAGGCTTTTCCATTTAAGTGGCCAAGTCACATCTTGACACATTCCGTACAGTTCCCCTGCGCATAGTACTGATATACATCTGAAAAGCTTTAGATACTATTCCTCACTAAATAAGCGGTTTTCACCTGACGTAACCGACAGATCCTGGTAAGGTAAAATGGCATTGACCTATGGAAAATGTTCAAAACGTGGGGGAAATGGTATAAGGCGCAGCTTCGTGAAATTTTGCAGTGCTTTGGCAGAACAACTAGCTCACGCCTGTGGACCTGTAATTAATACCGAGTGTCTCTACCAACCCTACGCCTGAGGTAGTTGAGGGTTTCTTCGCAGCGGATTCCAAATTAGCTAGTTATCCACATGCTCGGAAAAGCACTAGGCGACCGTTTCGTCTTGTCTGGAATCATCATCCATCGGTTCCATCAGGACCCAAACCTATGACCACTGGTGGATCACATATCCAGAAAGCAGCCTACATCACCGAGCCATGGAGGACAGCGGCAGGCCGTCATGGTTCACAAGCTACCCACGACAGAGCGCTTCCCATCCAAAACTGTTATGTAAGTTAGGAACGTTGCAGAGGGCAGGGTTGGCCCCGAACTACACGACTTCTATTAACAGTAGCTATGTACGATACAGCGTATAGAAACTATCAAGGTGAATAGTTGATAGGCTCATCAGTATGGGATGTTTAACGTAAATAGTCGAAATAGCCGTCTAGGGCTTTTCCAGACTAGTGAACGACAGTCTAAGTTAGAACGGTCATCATCACTACCTCAAATAATGGGCTGTAATAAAAAGGAGAAGAGATTACAGAGTACAGATTACATAACCTAAAAAGTAAAAGATTGCAAAAAGCACATTACGCATGAGATTGAGATCGTTATTGGAGGGGGAAGCGAAAGGGGAGGGAGGACAAAGTGACTCAAAGCACAAACTTCATGGAGGTCAGCTCCTCGCAACGTCAGCTAGTGTATCCTTCGGCCCCAGCCATGCAGTCGGGAAACACCAACCGACGCCAAGTTAGAGGTGGGGGAGTTCATTGCAATAAACCAAGTAGGCACTTGACCTCCCTTGCTTTTCTTTCATCCAGAACCCCGGGGCGCAAACAGCGTACGATGCGGGAGTCGGTGTGCTGGCATGCGCAACACGTGGCCTATGCAGCGGAATCTGGTGCGTGATAGAATGGTGCTGAGCGGTTCACTCAGTTTTCCTGCACAAACAAACGACACCAACCACCATGATTGTTCATGTGGTGTTCCCACCAGATATGAGCTATGCTGCGAAGGCAGCGATGGTCGAACGTAACCAGCCTCTTTATGTCGGCTGATCTAATGGACCAAGTTTCGCAACCGTACAGAAGGGTTGTACAGACGGCTGCATTGTAAACTCTGCCCTTCAGAACGAGAGTGATGTCACGCCGGTGCCACAGGTGGCGGAGATTGATAAAACCACCCAGAGCTACTACGAAGAAGCCCCCAGCAATTTCCATAGAAATTCCCCGCTCACGACAATACATGAGACGTTTCACACATACAGTTAGCGTAAAGAATGATGACGCATGTGATGCAAGTTGAAGAGAAGACTCAGAAATACCTGGGTGGATGTTAGTTGACAGGCTGAAGAATGGTTTCGTGTACTATACCAGAACACGACAGTGGTGCATGTGACGAAGACTGTGGCAGGACTATTGTTTATCGGCTATTGCAGTCGTCTTGCATGTTCAGTTGTGGCGCGGCGTATGTACGTACGTGTAGTGTTCACGGTCAGCTGATGTTAACATGCAGACCAAAATTTCGCGCCGACTGGATTGATATGCAATCGGATAGCATTTTCAGTTAGCATTCAACACAACGAACGCAAATAAGATGGGGAATTCTTCTTTTAAGGCTGCATTACATAGACTAGTCACGTATACGATTAGGTATTATATCTCAGTTTAAGTGTTGGAAATGTCCACCGGAACCTTTAGATTGCACGGTGTAAGACAGTGAGGGTTTCAGTTCTGACCAGAGCCCAGGAACGCCTGAACTCTGCACCGAACGAGATGTCCTGCCATATTGCGAGCAACTAGGCGCTACTGAGTTAAAATCCAGATAGTTTCATCAGTGTGCCAAGCAGGCCCGGGAAGGCGAGTACTTAACATAGCTCGTGCAACCCTTCATAAATAAGATAGCTTCCTTAATTTCACAGTGCGGAATTCCCAGTGAATTCGGTCCTATTGCTTAGGTATAAGTTGCATCTGTAATCGTTGCTTGAAATCATGCAATCGATTAATTTTCTGGCAGCAAGATGAAACCAGTTGTGAGCACATTAGCAATATATATGAGCTCAGTACCGAAGTTTAAACCAGAAAACAATATACTAATTAGTTCAGATAAAAGCTTCGATGAACAACTGTACCTTATCGTCAGTTAAAAGGCCAATGTGGTGCAGCAAAGTGAATGTAAGGGCATCCAAGAGCAGTGCAAATTGACTGAATTGCCAGGTCACGCAGAACAAAGTTGTGCTGAGAAAAACGGCCATTGTGATAGCGAAGTGTGAGCGTGCCTGTGTACATAAGAAAAAATAAAATAGGAAACAAGTCACTCGACACCGTTTCATCAAGAGAAAATATTTGCATATCAAATTAGAAGGGCATACGTTTTGCGTTATTAGACTGGAAAGTAATCAGCATCGTACTGAGGGACGAATGGAATTTGCGGAAAATGTAGTGGATTGGGGCATGGCAATATTTCCGTAAAAGAGCACAACAGACAAATATTGCGATAAGTCAGAACCAGTCTGTCAGTGTTCGACATCCGTTTCGAAAAATAAATGGAAGCAGTAAACAATGTACAGTGCGGTGAATAGATCAGCACAGCTCGCAAAGCCAATAAGAGTCAAGTCGGTTTGTAAAAATTTATGCTCATCGTGTCGGGCTACCTTGGATGGGTGTCATACCAGAGTGAACGGACTGATCAACCGAGCGAGCCAGATAGCCAATGCCACGGAGTTGACTGCTGGACATGGATTGAACGACATTCGTGTGAGTTAATCTTTGTCTGTGTAACTAAATCAAAAGAAAAGCCTCATCGTCTCACAAGGGTCGTTAGTTTTGTAAGTGAACGTGTAACTTATTTTGAGGAGATTAACTTCCCAAACGTGCTGTAACTTGCGCTGTGTTGACGTTGCCGAACAAACGCTTGTGCCTGAAGGACTGAGCTCTGCAACATGGTCTATTCAGATGCCTGCCACATTGAACAAGGATGAACGGAACCTGGTGAGTACTTAGCATGTATTGAGGAGTAAGTGGATGGATTTCGGCACCTTAGTGCGCTTGCATGAGCAACCGATGGTGTACTGCTTGGCCATGTTTTCGCCACGCAGCCGGGGATGACGCGAGCTGATTGATAGAGACAATGCAATACGAGAAAGGCAGAGATCGAAATAGTTTGGCGACAATCATAGAAAAGTTAGGTGAATTTTGTGAGGGTCAAACCAACGAGACCTACAAGCTCTATCTTTTCTTTTCGCGCAACAGAGGCCCAAACGAATCCGTCGACGCGTACATCACTGAATTGAAGATTATGGCCCGATTCTGCAATTTCTGCAAATGCATGGGCAACAGTCTCATACGTGATCGGATCGTCCTAGGAATCAGTGATGAAAGTACAACAAACCGACTCTGCGACAACGCAAGTCATCGCTCCAGTAGTACACTAATATCTGCGACATTGAGTCTTTGACCATCTATGAATAACGACAACTAAAACGCGCGACTGATACCGAAGTGTGTGCCGTTTCCGGAGGCGAAGCAGCATAGGCTAATAACGTTAGACACGATATCTGCCAATTTTGCGCTGCGAGACACCGGGGCTCCCGCGAATAGTGTCCGGAGCGAGGGCGGAAATGCACCAAATGTGGAAAAAGGAACCATTTGTTAGTTGCTGCCTATCAACCAGCGTGAGTGCGCTTGTTCGTAACAATTAACCACAGACGTAGAACACCTAATTGGCAACGTATCTTCAAGGGTAGCGCAAAAATATGTCTACGCAAGTTTTGATTGAAGGCAAAGTCGTACGCCTTCAGTTAGCCACGGTGCTATTGTCCACAGTCTACTAAGGAAACGCCGTCCCGGAGTGTGCATCCGATCCGAGCAAGATTGACTGTGCATGTGGAATGGTTCCAGAGATCATCCCAAAGGCTCCGCTACAATCGAAGTGTTTAACCCAAGGGACGGAGTCTCACATCGACTGCAGTTTGTGGTTGTAAAGGAGGAGCTCACGCCGATTCTCCTCACTGATTTGATCCATTCTATCGGTTATGTTGCTTTTAATCATGATCGTTTCGTGCATGCTTGTCAGGAAAAAACCGATATTAGTGAACAGTAGCCGTCTGTGTTTGGCCCGTTTGGGAAAATTTGTTGGAAACGCTCAATTGTCGTTAGACCCTTTGATACGACTGACTGCGCTGTTGGTTAGGACACTTCCATGTGCAGAAAGTGACATGTCCTCTTCTGAATTAAGCAAATTAGTGATGGAAGTTGTAATTGTCGAACTCGACGAGCCAACAGAATTGATTAGTTAGGTCACAATCATTACGAAGATGACGGGCTAAGTGTACGAGTGCATTGATCCGAAATTGTGGAACGAGGTCCTACGTAGAGAGTATCATGCGCTAACAACCTAAGGAGACATTTTGACGCGCCCGACCAAAGTTAAGTGTTTCCAGAAGATAAACCTGTTCTCCGCATTCTGGAACGTAGTACTAGATGAAGAACCCAGGTGCGACCGAGAAATATTGTAGGACAGGTTGCAGCGACTGATAGCTATACATATACTGGGACATTATGTAACTGGGGGCCGTTGATTAGCTCCGCTTTGATGTTTCGATGGTGATATGTGATATGCCCGCCTCCTTTCTTTGTTCTGTGATCTGTTCCAAAGTGATGGTAGTTAGGAAAATTTAAGTAGCATCCAATTTCGCAGAGAAGCACCAAGTTCCGGTGACGAAAATTATATGTGCGGATGCTTATCCGAGTAAGCATGCTCATAAAACGCAACTTGTTCTTTATGTATCATGATTCAATAAGTAGTAGTGAAAAGGTATTGTGCACAAAAATGTTTTCCCTCAGCAATCCAGAGGTTTGGGAATCAGAAATGACAGGCACGAAATTTAGATAAGAGGGCAAGAGAAACAAACCCATCGGTGGAATGCTCGGATGCAAGGGCATTGTTCGCGCTAGTAAGACCGCGGGATGAAAAAGATTAATGTCCAGTGGCTAGGTTGGGATTTATCTGGCATTTTAGCTAGCCGTGATATGTGAATGAACTGCAGGAAAACTGGAACAAGATAGGCTGTCGCTGCTGGGTCTGTCAGTGGTAGGAATGGATGCAGAGCTATTCCCACTTCCGTTAAAAAGGGTTATAGAAAGGTGGCGGATTGTGAGAGGCTTCATGGGTGTCGTATGGTAACTGTCATTGAAGAAGTCCTCAAAAAGGAAATAGAAGACTTGTTGAACGCTGGCGTTGAGCTCTTCCCACCTAGTCAGGTGGTCGAGTTTGATTACGATGAAATAGCGTCTTGTTGGGTGAAGATCCGCAGGCCGTCTAACTTCCACTTAACCACCTAGCGATCGAAGCGTCAAAATATGACATGAACTTTTCACCATCCTAAAACAAAGCGCTTTTTCAAGACCAGTATACGCGCCTACATGCAAGTACCATTGATGGTGAAACGCTGGAAGTTGTACAGAGTTTTGTCTACCTGGGAAGCTGCATCACTGCTAGTGAGGCTGCTGGAAATAAGCTTTCGATCACATGTTGGAAGCTCGTTTCGCCTTCTCTACGTTTGGGCGTTTATGGTTCCGCCATGACATCAGTCTCTCCATCAGAGGATGAGTTTATTTCGCAGCCGTTCGCGCTGTACTGTCGTACAGTTGCGAGACTTGGCCTGCTCGTACTAATGACCTGCGCCGACTGTCTGTCTTCGAGAACCGTTGCTTGCGGTCCATCGCCCGTGTGTGGTGGCTGCACCACGTAACCAACGCTAAAGTCGGACAGAGTGTCTTGGGTGGAGGCAGCCACTCCCTCGAGACGCCTGTCTCGCTGCGCCAACTACGATGGCTTGGACACATACTGCGTATGCCCGTTCAGCGTCTTCCGGGTTGTGCCTCGTTCGCGGTCACTGGACAGGGCTGGAGGAGGCGCGTTGTGGGCAGCCTAAAACTGGAATCAGGATGAATATATATATATATATATATATATATATATATATATATATACATATATATATAGTACTTGGTATCGTTAGCTTTCCAATGTCTTCACGGTGTTCATTTCTGTCTAGCGTTGTGACCTACGGAAGGCTGATAAGTGGGCTGGTAGGTTGGAGGTAGCCAGAAGACAATCATTGCGAGCTCTAGACTCGAATTAGTGTGCAACGCAGCGATGCTAAGGCAAATGTTGACACGTAGCTCTGAGCGCTACCGAGTTCCTCATAACTGCGTATTTCATGCAAATACCAGTCATCAAGTTGTTAATGGAGCCATTAAATGATATATTTGTATTCACGACATAAGCTCGCAAATCTTGGGACGCATCTCGAGGTTTATATCTGTTTTCCATTCTTTTTATTTGCTTGAGGCTCATATAGGTGGTTCTGATGGGGAGAAATCTCATGCTACATAGATCAGTGAATCCTTGAGGCTCGCGAACCATAGAACCAAGTTAAGGTTCGGTCTCATCGCAGTAAATCTATTGGGATTACGTAGAACAAAAATCAATCTGCTGTTGCATTACACAATTAAAAAGGCTTCTACGAAACAGTAATAATCTCACTACTGTCTCACAAAAGACGAAACATTATGTGTACTTTATATGTTTCATGAGAGTAGCATAAATGCTATCTTTATGAAATGATCTACAACATAGTTAAAGGTTCATGTATCATCAGCACCCAAACGCGCCTCTTGTATGCAGTGCAACAATATTTTAAACGGTGATTCTCTGCCATGCGTTAACGAAAAGAGGAATAGCCGTTATGATGGGGAATATACAGGTATAAGGGGATACTAAACATATCACCTGTATCTCTTGCTGAAACGTTTAGGCGAGATGTATCAGTAACTTACAAATACTTTTACGTCACAAACTAATGGTCATCGTCCAAAGATGGAGTTGCATCGGTCAGCCAACATCCCGGCAACGTTCAGCGCACTGATTTGTGCTTTTGACTGGTAACTGAAGGGATAGTGCGCTTGCCTTGTGATCCGGGGGTCACTAATTCGAATCCCCACAGGTGCAGGGGACCTCGCGATGTGTTCAGCTTATGAGCAACCCGCTGTAGTCGCGTGGAAATAAAGCATCTGTACGGTGTGCCGGCTTATAGCTGAAGCCTAGTTACCTTTTCGTCTGCATTATAAGCAAATTGCTTCATAGCTACGTCGGTACCATGCACAAGTTTAACAAGAATTCGGTTGAAACAAAGCAGCCATTGGTCCTCCGATATCGAACAAGTAAGAAACAGAATAAATGATTAAAGCATAGATTGATAAGACATACTTTGAAGTTTATGGGTTCATTCGTTTGGAGCAGCACAGTAACAAACAAAGCACGCAGCCACCAGAATGGGAGAGCGAAATTTTCCCGTAATGGAAGCGTGTAAGTGACGCGACTCATCTCCAAACTAGGACGGAGCCGAAATGGGACAAAAATAATGATTGCTTTAGAGTAATGGTAATGGCAGTGCAGAAACAATGCACAGTGACAAATCGTAAAAGATGAAAAGCCATTTTGTTACACTAGAGGTCTTTTGCATACGCTTTCGGAAGGTTTTATGATACAAAAGCGATTTTGTATGGACTTGCACAGCGGCTACGTTTCTCGCTCGACAAAAGAAATTCTTAAGGCCAGGTAAACTAGTACAGAATTGGCTTGCATTTTAGAACCTATAATGATGATTATGGGAAATACTCAGAGTCAGTGGATAAAGGTAGATAACGTTCGATGGCCAAGGTATGAAACGTTCTCCGTTGATCCGTGTCACAATTCATTCAAACGTAAAGCACCACTGTTCTGGTTGCTATTGATTCCAGTTAGACTTTATCGCTCCAGTTTGAGCCCGTCATCCGACCCTGCTGAGAACGGCCAGGTTAAGACATCCCGTCACGAAGTTGAAAGCTCCATTCCGTCCATACTGTTCACGTAATTATAACGATTTTCGCCGCCTCAACAATTACTCTTTAGCTTGTTGTTTGCACTCCTTTTGTAATGATCTTTAGACGGTCCCAGACAATTTCCTTATCCGAGCAAGGTGCGTGTAATGCCACCGCCGAGTCTTTTGGGACGGCCTACATTCATCTTCGTTTCACGACTGGCGCGAGAGGTGGCTCTTGTTTTCTGATATGTATACGAGCAGTTCTATCACAGTTTGGCTTATATACATGTGTACACAAATTTTGCAACTAATTTATGGACGTGACGGTCATCAGATTGCTTGGAAGTGGGTTCTTCAAACGCATCAGTGCCGAACGGAGACTTTGCCCTCTTTTAAAAAACCACCCTTATTTTTTGCTCGCTTAATCGTTTCAGAAATTTCTCCTTTATAATACATTCACACGGTCCCATCCTTCTCCGTCGTACGCTGTGAAGGTGGGATTACGGCTCTCTGCAAATGACGTTCCAGTAACTATCATGGATAGCTACCACCAAGTAATTCGCTTATTGCCGTCTTTCTTTCAACTTTTCTGACCCCTTCAACTGTACACAAAGTCTGGGCTCGTTGTAACAGATAAAATGCAGTCGCAGCAGAGAGGTGTTTTGGACGATCTCAATTATAATGTAGCACACCACCCGTATTTGTTTGCGAGCGACATATTGTTGTTGGTAGCCGTCATCTACTCTGTGAAATGGACATTCAAGAAATGACAGTGTCTAACTGCAAGATTCTAGTTCCATATCAAAATACATTATATCATCAAAACGGTTAAATTCGCCTAGAAACATTTGCTTCTTATTCTACCTAGTAAACGCAAGAATAATACCTACTTTGTTCTACCAAATCTACTGGTTTATCAATGCCCTCCTTTCAAAGTCCTGCACATAAATATTTAATCATACGGGCATATTGGGGACTTCATAGCCAGCCCCTTTTCCTGAACCTACAGTCTCGACTAGAATCTGAAACACGATATAGTAAGGGCATACCATTAGTGCTTAGATTAGCTGATCTACTGTAAGTTTCATCTTACCCCCAGTCAATTATCCTCGGTCAGACAGTACTGTGCTGCCGTTAGTGAATAAGGAGCTAACATCGAAACTGATCAAAATCTCATGTAACGATCGTCAGACGTGCCAATTTCCGCGTGAACTGGAAAGTCATTCACGAAAGTAGTTGTCTTCCCTGTTACGGGTTTCCATAAACCTACCAGGTATCTGGTTAGTTCGCGTACATGTGGAGATTACAAAGCTTTGGTAACCCATAGGTCCTCTTCGGAAGGCTTGATTTCGGGCACATAGTATACCATTTACTTAACCCTAAGCAGCCTTGCACAATCCATAAGTAGTTTCTAGCCTCTGTTTAATTCTTATTCATTACCAAAGACACAATTCTCATCTCAACCCCTTTGAAGGGCCCGTTTCACAATCCTCCTCCATTTCCCATATAATTTTGTATATGATTTCTCGAAAAATTAAAAAGTTGGTCAGATCGCCTATCATCCATGGCAGTAGTACTAGCAGCAACAGTGTATCAGTCATTAGAACTGACGCATGGCAGTTGTGCGACCACGATAACAAAGATACCGTGAAGTAATAACAAAGAAGAGAACCGGAACATAGTGTGAAACTCAAATGCGCTAAGCAAACATTCAGGTGCAAAGCGTTCTAACCTTACTAGCAAGACACGGTCACAAACAGCTAGCAACGGTGCAGAGACAGGTTGACAACAGTGCGAGAGGTTAAGTTAAGTCGAATCACCGGTAGTTCGGTTTGAGTGTTGAAACGTTGGTCAGTTCGCCGAAATGAGCAATTCGACTGCAGACATTGCGTCATTAACCGAGGTGACATCTTCAGTGTGTACCAATGGTGGCGGTTTGCAGCAGTAGCAATAGTCCTGATAGCAAAAACTATTCTTCACACAAATCCAGAAGCTGTCTCAACATCGTACCAAAAGTATTGTTATTTGGCGAGCAATACTACCATACGGTTCAAAAACGTATGCATCGAAATTACAGATAACCTGGCTGGGACTTCCACTACTTGACGTTAAATTAGTTGCTTGAAGCGAAGACAAAACGTATCCGGTACGTGCAAATATGAGAGTGAATAAACGTGGTCAACAACAATTTCATCATCTGTTTTACAAAATCGCTCAACCCATCCACCTAGTAATGGAAAAGGTTAACTATTTGTACAAAATATCAAGCAAAATATTTGGCCAGATTTCTTCCCGGTGAGGTACACCTATGTAGTATACAGACTAATACCGAAGTTAATAATCAGTGCTTGCATTTAGATCTAAATACTTTTCGTTACATGCCAAATGTGATCAAACGTTTTGGTCTTCAGAAATCTACAAGTACGCTCATCGAATTCGGTCCGAAAAACACATGAGAACGTACATTGCCAGTATTACTGCTTCTTACGTATTCCGTGGATCATTGTATTGTTGATCCACAGAGAACACAAGTTCCTAAACGAAATACCCATGAAACTCATTGTACAAATGATCGTTCCACAAAAGTAAGCGTATCCCGCCTGTCAAGAAATATACTCATTCATTTGTTGATTTCCATGTTCAAACAGAAACATTTTTCTGACGGTTCACACATATTATTTCGAATAAATGCCATGGAATGCGCCTGAGATACAAATACGATTTAATTTGTAAGTATGGAAGCAGATACATATGTGCCACTACAATCAAGCGTGTTAAAGCGCTTAGAGCACAAGCAAAGCTCACCGAACACTAAAGCAAAAACACATCGGTTTCTGGGTTTATTTGTGTATGGCGCGTAACTAACGGTCAATTATTCCGAGCAAACGGTAATCTCAAACACTAGGATATCAAATGAAATCGATAAATGCTAGCCCCTTGGTCGATCCAGATAATGCGACCCATAATAATAAATATTGATATGCCCGCTGTACGCCTTAATGGCACTTGGCTAGCACGGGACCAACACGTCGCGCGAGGACTGAGTATAAGCCGATTACGCCCACCTCTACGCGGATTCGAACCGGTGACCTTATGTTTGTAAGCTAGACGTGGTGACCACTCGGCAACTGGCCAACCCATGGACAGTTTCGCTTTTGCTTATACTACTTGTGCTGTGAAATTTGCAACCAGAACTTCAGTCCAAGAAGTAAAGGTTATTGATGGCCAACCACCATCAGGCGACGCAAATTGTGCTTATAAATACAATTCGGATTTCATGATGGAACTTATGACTCTGTTGTATGTGTAAATATATGCATGGTGAACGTAATAGTTAGCTTTTCTAGATGATAATCATGGTTTAAGTAAGTGCCAGATATCGCCCAGACAAAACATTACATTTTATGGTGGGTTAAGTGATTGTTTGCATCCTGTACTGAGTGTTGAACCGTAGTTATACATCGTACAGACCATCGTCTTTACCACGACGTCAACGAGACGCAGGTTAAGAGTATTAAAATGCTTCTGTTGGTTTTGTTTGAGGTGCATGTTGTGTGAATGGATTGCGACATGCAATCCCAATATGGCCTGCGATATAGGTTAAGGTGAAACTCAACTAGCCCGGAAAGGTTAATGTGATAACCGGGTGCGGCGTAATTGCGAAACTATGTACCACTAAAGTTAATGGTTTGCGTTAAAGTTGCAGGTGCTGCTAACTTTTCTTGACGCACGCACAAGAGTAAGACAACGTTCGTGGAGGGCAGTATTGCGAGTGGACAAAGCCTAGCATTCATCTGTTTCATATACGGTCCCAGTGACATAAAGGACTGTTTCGAGTAAAAGTGCATCGTGGCACAGATTGAACTTTTGTGCCCAAATTCAGTCACACAGTGAATAGATGGATCAGACGCAGCCATACCTTGGATGGCTATTCCCATGCGTGTTTGTCACTTCCCATCGATCCATACAGATTTTTAGCTCACCTGTTAGTGCAAGATTTTTGAGATAGTTTACTGGGAATTCTTTGCGGTACCTTTTAAGTCAGACAGGGTTTCACGCATCCGTACAACTAGCAAACGAACGGGCTCGGATCCTGCAATACACGCTACTACCAAAAGGCAGTAGAACAAGCCGGCCATCTGATGAGTTACACGATGCGTGACAGTTCGTCTGACTTAAAAGCTACCTCGAAAACCTTCAATAAAAATTTTAATTTTATCGATTTTTGGACAAGAGGTAGTGGAAGACATGTTTTCAAAATGCGTCCGCTCAGGATGGGCTGCACCGTATGAAAATAAACTCCTCAAAACAATGTTACAGTCGACAACCGGAGCTCTACTTGGGCAATAACTTTTTTTATGGCTAGCTAAAAGTAGCCTCTTCGGTTGGAACATCACGAACTCAACTGGTCAAACTTACCGGTTTGCCATAAACAAAACGGCATAGAGGATAGAGGCCAACCCATTGCCCGTCAGTAGAAACGCCGTGATGCACATTGAGGAAGCGGTAAGTGATTGCAAGTTTGTGGCGGCCCAGTCGTAAAAGTCAATGGGTTGCATTCTTGAGAAGGCCTATAGGACAAATGTTGGAAGCTGAATGATTACCTTTGACACTAGACATTACATGTTTTGTTACCTAAGTAAACTGGTCAAAAAGGTGAGCAGAAAAATAGTTTCCGAAAAATATGTTCACCAACCCATTATTGTGTGCGAAGTATAAAAGAACAATGTGCGTCTGACCGGCGTTCATACCTTTTTAATTCGCTTTCAGGACTTCTCCAAAATCTTGCCTTGCCGACACGACCTCACAATATAAAACAGTACCTTGAGAACTGATGTTCACACCACGGAAAGTATCTGCCTTCTGAAGCAGCATATATTGGAGGTTGCATATTTAACATCACGTACATAGTAGACATGGTTTTTCATAAAAGTTCCATTACCTCTAAGCTTAACTTTAGTCTTTAACATAAATGCTAAGTGAGAGTCTGGTTTCGCAGTCTATTTGGTGAGAGCTAATGTATTTCGTCACTTTGACGTGTAAGTGAACAACTTTTTCTTTCTGATTCGTTGTATGGATTGTGTTTGACAAACTGCGTTGAACCGAATGGGTGTAATAAAACGGTTTACGTCATTCAATCATTCGGCCACAAGGGACCTACGTCCTTGCAGAAAATACAAACAACTGTATACTGAACAGTAACTGTGAGGCTCGGGCATATATGCAATCTTGATTGGAAGAGTTTAAAAACTGACAAAACAAATAAAACACCCAAAGCAAACGCACAAGGGGAAATCCGAATGTTCCACTTGAATAAAAGTGATGACACTCTTTTCCAACTTTGAATGTTTATTTGCCTGCACCTAGAAAGTGATTATGAGTTGCTTTGCTGTACTGCTAACAGCTCGATGTACACACCCCATATTCAGGGTAAACATGACGGAATAGGACTAGGAGGTATACAGATGGGAGCCACTACTGAGTCGAAGATGATCTCAGGTTCCGGGGTTAGATTAAGGATGTACTCTCGTTACTTAACCCGAATCCCTTTAACTCACTGTTAAACTCCGGCCATCCTACGGTCAGATTTTTGGGACAACTGCTTTCGTTAAATGCCATAATCTTCATCGTAGCCATGTTTTGGAAAATTGATAGCACTACCCACACAGCACAATGAGTTCCTTTTCAAACAATTGCTGTGGCCGTCGCATAGAATAATCAACGGTGCCCTATCTACAGTATTGCGCAAAGCAAATGAGACGGGAATGCTTGTGCTTTCCTGTCATCATATTTTCATCTTGCAGTATTTTATACATACTGTTTTGTTCTAGCATAAACTTATTCGCTCTAATTACAATTCCCAAATTCGTGGTCATCTCCAATTGTGGCTTGATAGTCGTTCGTCTTCTAATTCAACTCACATAGTCGCGGAGTGTCATTTCTGCCTGCGGAAAAGTCCGAGACAACTTATTCCGACAGCCTCAGTTTATTCATTCCTTTTTGGAGCCGTCCGTATTCGTTAAGACTAGCATGCCTTAACATGCTCATTTTGCTACAAATCGGTCAAAAATGTACTCACTGCCTAAACACTAAGGACCATATCGATCGAAATCGGCGGCTTATTGGAAAAGGACAGCAAGACTCAAGCTCCAACTTTACTCTACAATCGCGTTCATGTGAAATTAGCGTCTTTGTTTCACTGCGTTCATTTGAATAAAATGTAGTCTTGACTGCCGGTAAATCCGGTGTGTTACTTAAGCGTGTAGGTTGAAGCTACATCAGTAGGCAAGATCCCAGTCAGCAGCCAGATGTGCACCATGCAAATGGTTGGAATCCACCGAGTCAAACAGCGCTAATAAAATTGTATGTACCCAACATGCTAAATAATAGGCATAAGACTATACAAATTTCTGGAGCGCAAAGTATCACCAAAGGAAGGGAACAACTACTTTTCTTCCTTTATTCCATATGCCAATTTTTTAACGTGTTGACTTCAAACCTCAGCACTAAGCACCTGAAGCTAAGCAAATACACATAAACATCCTTTATTGTTTTTGTTTATGTACTATACCTTTAATCGATCCCAGACAGGTATTAATCAAATTTGGTCCTCTATGCAAGAAAAGGAATGAATACAACGACAGTCACACCTGAATTTGGCAATCTCATGTTTCGTCTCTAAGCGGAAGGCTAAGTTTCACGAAGCCATCTCCAGCCCGATGCGTCAACAGTAAATAAAGCGCGGTAGAGTAAATGCTCAAATTATTTGAGTTAGGTGCGATCTAGTCATAATAACTGGCAGTGCTAAACCAGATGGTTGAGAGGAAAAATCGCAACCTATAAAAATAGCGTATAATGTATTGGTACCGAATTAATGGCACAACGACTCACGAGTAATACGCTGCATTGTAATTTTCGTCAATAGTTAGAATCCAACATATGTCAACAACAACAACAATATCATCAGCAGTGCATCAGCCATTTGAACTGACGCTTAGCTGTCATACAACCATGAGGACCCACGGAATGAAGAATGATAAGAGGGAGAGAATAGGGACTTACCTAAAAAGCTTAATGCCCCAAGCAAACATTTAGGACCAAGGCGCCTGCACCTGGTGTAGACAACAAACCGTCACAAACAGCTGGCTATCATGCAAAAATAAGGCGGCACGGACGAGACAGCTTCCTTGCGGCTTTCAATGCCACACGTCATAATCAGCCATTACCCCGCAGATAAGTCAGTACCAAACACACTTTAAACAGGTAATCCGACTAGGAGACGGCAGCAGATGCGCCACTAGTGCCGACTGTGAGCCATGTCCTGTAAAGTGTCAAGATAAGCACAAGGCGAGTCACGTGGTCTCAAGCCCGGGAGGTGAGACGGACCAATGGCACCCAGTTTGATCGTCAGTGACTTCATTTCACGCTGCCAAGTCAACTTCTGTCCACCTCGAGCCTTGTGCCACCCTACATCTGGCAGACTAAACAAGGCCCTTCTAGGTAAGCGGTGACCAGGCATACGTAGCACGTGCCCGAGCCAACGCAACTTATTCACTGCCATCTGTTGTTCTAGGGAGCTAGCATATGCATATCATCGTTGCGGACACACTGGTGCATCCGCCACCAGCAATGCTTCGCAGACAACGCTGAGTAAAGACTTGAAGGCACCTCAGATCATCAGGCCGAAGGGCCCAAGTTACACTATTATAGAGCAGGACGGCCCTTACTGTGGCCTTGTATACACGGACGGATGGAAACTCCATTCTCTCGCCAAAGATGCCATCATCATCATCATCATCATCAACAGCAGTACATCAGCCATTTGAACTGATGCTTCGCTGCCATACAACCATGAGGACCTATGAAATAAAGAATAAGAAGAGGGAGAGAAGGGGGACTTACCTGAAAACCTTAATGCCCTAAGCAAACATTCAGGGTCAAGGCGCCTACACCTTGTGTAGACAACATTCCGTCACAAACAGCTGGCTATCGTGCAAAGATAAGGCGGCATCGGCGAGACAGCTTCCTTGCGGCTTTCACTGCCCCGCGTCATAATCAGCCATTACCCCGCAGATAACTCAGCACCAAACACACTTTAAACAGACAATCCGATTAGGAGACGGCAGCAGACGCGCCACTGGTGTCGGTTGCGAGCCATGTCCTGTAAAGTCTCAAGCCAAGCACAAGGTGAGTCACGTGGACTCCAGCCTGGAAGGCGAGACGGACCAACGGCACCCAGTTTAGTTGTCAGTGACTTCATTTCCCGCTGCCAAGTCAACTTCTGTCCACCTCGAGCCTTGCGCCATCCTACACCTGGTAGACTGAACAAGGCCCTCCTAGGTAAGCGGTGACCAGGCATGCGTAGCACGTGCCCGAGCCAACGCAACTTATTCAATGCTATCTGTTGTTCTAGGGAGCTAGCATGATTATCACCACCTAGTACTCGCCTACGCACATCATCGTTGCGGACACGCTGGTGCCATCCGACACCAGCAATGCTTCGCAAACAACGATGATCAAAGACTTGAAGGCGCCTCAGATCTTCAGACCGAAGGGGCCAAGTTTCACTACCGTAGAGCAGAACGGCCCTCACTGTGGCCTTGTATACACGGCCTTTCAGGCGGAGGGAAACTCCCTTCTGTCGCCAAAGATGACGCAGGTTCAAGAAGGCAGCTCTGGCTTTTGCAATGCGTGAGCTCACGTCAGTTTCTATGCGCCCATCATTGCTGATGCAGCTGCCAAGATAAGTGAATTGATCAACCACCTCGAGTTCCTCGTTAGCAAGCGTCAAGGGGTCATCAAGTGGCTGGTGGTCCTGCAGCAACACTTTGCACTTTGAAGGTGCGAAGTGCATACCAAATAATGGGACCACTCTGGATAGGCTATTCAGGGTTGACTGTGCCGCCTCAACATTGTCGAAAAGCAAGACGATATCGTCCGCATAATCTAGGTCAACTAACCTTTCACCAGGCAGCACTTCAACGCCTACATCGTGAGATTCCGCAAGGGAACACTCCATGATAGAATCCACGACGAAATTGAACAAAAACGGGGAAATCGGACAACCCTGACGAACGCCACTTGTAGTCGAAAAGCTATCCGATAGGGCACCATATACCCTGACGCGGCCTGTAGTGTTCGAGTATAGAGCACGAAGGATGTTCACATATTTCGTGGGAACACCTTTTCGCGCAAGTATTTCGAACAGAATCGATCGATCGACTGAATCGAACGCACTCTTGAAGTCGAGGAACACAGCTATTGTCGGTCTGCGGTATGCGTGGCGCTGCTCTAGCACCTGCCGCAAAGTAAATATATGGTCTATACAGCCACGTCCTGGGCGAAAACCGGCCTGCTCTTCCCTAATCCGAGATTCCCGTTCTGCAGTGAGGCGACGAACGATAATCGAGGCCAGTAATTTTGTCACAACTGGCGTTAGGCTAATACCTCTGTGGTTCGAACAGTCTGTGCGACTGCCCTTCTTGTATATTGCCACTATAATCGATTCGCTCCAATTAGCTGGCACACTCTCTTCGTTCCAGATACGTTCGAATAGGGAGGTCAGTGCCCT